AATAAAAATGTACCAACTCCCTTTGCATCAGGAGTGTCCTGTTCTCCATCTCAGAATGCCACCCCAAATCCATTGTTAGTCATCATTCCCCACCCCATCACCACCTTGTGATGAATCCCTGTTTTAGTTTGTTGTGCAATTAATGCCATAGGCAGCAATCTATGAAAAGTCATAACATTTAACAGTAATTAAATTTTCTCTCTCGCATGGTTTTAAATGAGCAACTTCTGATTTTCAAATAGTGAACCCTAGTTCTCGATTCTATTATAAATGGAAACATCCTCTTTACATCCAGCCTGTCAAGACCCCCCAGGATTTTCTATGTTCCTTTTAATTTGCCTTTTGCTTTTCAACTCCAGGAATACAAACCTGGCCTATCCAACATCCCTTCATAAGACAACCTGCCCATTCTAGATATTAGTTTAGTAACCCTTATCCAGGCTATTGGTAGATATTTTGAACAGCTGGGACCCAAGTAGTGATCCTTACAGTACCCCACTAGTCACAGTCTGCCAAAGTGAAAATGATCCATTTATTCCTACTCTTTGTTTTCCTTCTGATAGATCAATCTTTAATCCATGCCAGTATATTACCTCCTGTACCATGTGCTTAAATTTTGTTAACCATCCTCCTGTGGGAGAACTTATTTAAAATCTTCTGAAAATCTTAACTATACAACATCAATCAACTCGCTTTTATCAATTTTGTTAGTAACATCCTCAAAAAAGTCCAAAAATTTCGTCAAACATGATTTTCCATTTGCAAGTCTATACTATCAATGCCTGATCAGATTGTTTTTATCCAAGTATCATTTGTCACTTCCTTTATGATTGATTCCTACATTTTCCCTACTGTTGATGTAAAGAAGATGGGTCTGTAGATCCCTCTTTTACCCTTGTTCTTTTCTTAAATAGTAAGGTAATATTTGCAAGTTTCCAATCTACAGGAATCATTCTAGAATCTGGAATTTTGGAAGATGATCAGCAATGCATTGACTTTCTCCAAAGCCGCCACCTCCTCTCTTGGAAGCTGACTATCAGGTCCCGTGGTCCTATCAACTTTCAGCACCATTATTTTCTCCAGTGCACTAACACTTACTTCCTTCAAATCCTCATTACTATCTAATTACCCTAGTCACTTTGATTTCTGATTTTGGGAGCTTTCTTGTAACTTCTGCTGTAAAAACAGGCGCAAAGCAATCATTTAGCTTTGCCACCATTTATCTATTCCCCATTATAAATTCTCCTGACTCTTCTTTTAATGGACCAACATTCACCATAGCCCAATCTTTCCTTTGTACATATCTGTAAAAACTTTTACAGTCCATTTTTTTTTTTTTTTTTTTTGCTTGTTTGCATTCTTTCTTTCATTATTGATTTCTTGATTCTCCTCTTCAGTATTCTTAAAAACTTCTCGATATTCGGATTTATTAATACTTATGGCCACTTTATAAAGCTTTTCTTTTTATTATCTACAGTGCAAACTTCCTTTATTGGCCACAGTTGACTACCTTGTTTTCAATAATTGCACCCTGCAGCAATGTATAGTTGCTGTAAGCCATGTAATAGTTTTTTAAAGATTGTCCATTGCCTATGTATAGTCGCGCTTTTTAATGTATTTTCCCAATCCAGCTCCGTTCTCTGCAAACCTAGGACACTGATCTTCTGGCATATTCTCGGCTTTTGAAAACTACATGTTGGGATCACTTTAGGCACATACAAGGGAATACTGCAATCTAAAAAAGTGTTGTAACGAGACAGGTGGCCATGAATATTCGCCACAGCAAATTCAAATTCGCCACAGCAAATTCAAATTCATGTTTTGAACTTGATGGAATTTTTAACTGCGGGAATCCCAGTTTTGATTAATCGGAATAAATCAGCCCTATTAGTTTATTTTCTTAAGTGATAGTTACAAATAAGACTTGAATCACTGTAGTGTAGTTTTTATATCAGTTTGCTACAGTACTATAATAGCAAGATGATTCACAAAGCCTTAAACAGACAAATATGGAAGGAAAAAGAGATTAGGAAGGATGAACCAAAAGCTTGGCTAAAGAAGTATATTTCGAGGAAGGTCGTGAAGGACGAAAGGTAGGTGGAGAGATTTAGGGAAGGACTAACAAAATGTAAAACCTAAATGGCTGAAGTTAAGGCTGTCAACAGTAGTCAGAGTTGTGGGAATATGTAATTGTTTCTGTGTACTTCTGGTGAGTGAGAGGATTGTAAGGATGGAGGGTCGAAGTGGAGGTGCAGGGTGTAAACAGTTTCAGACACAGGTAATAAGAGGACAGTGTCACAATGGGATTTAAACACGAACTTCAGATACTTAATTGGAAGTATGGCGAACCATTTGCTTAGATAAGTTAGCAAAGTCTGGGGTGAATGATTGAGAATTAAGGTTTGTAATGTTGCAAGTAGCAGAGTTTCATAAGTAGAGGTTAAGCAGTCAGACAGGATGTGACATATGTATAGATAAGGATTAGAGCAGCAAAAATCCTCTCCATTTTCCAACTCCGGCTCCCCCAAAGATGCGAGAAAGCCATGTGGCCTCTTAAATCCCTGAGGCACCACTAAATTGCATTGATGTTGGGATAATGCATATTGGTTAAATCATTCATGATCCTAATTGACATCCTGCTGTTGGCATCAGCCCTTCTGTCCTCTGACGTATCGAGAAAAATTCTCCTGCTGCTGAAAGACTGACACAGTTCCCTCCGTGAAAGGCTGCATTTGATCCAGCCTGTTGTAGTCCACTTTTGAGTTTAGAAAATCATTGTGTGTAATTTAGGATTTGCACTGTTTAATTTTCCATCAACAATACTTTTGCCAAACTGACTCGTCACTATAATGCAAAAGCAAAATACTATGTGTGCTGGAGATCTGAAATAAAAGCAGGAAATGTTGGCAGTAGTCAACCAATCGGGTAACATCTGTACACAGACAGTTGATATTCAAGGTTCGTCAACCTGAAATATTAAATTTGTCTTTCTCACCGCAGATGCTGCCAGATCTGTTGAGTATTTCAAGCATTTTCTGTTTACGTTTCTGCACTATTGCTTGGTAAAAATGTGAAGACTTTTCCATAGCTTGCACCACCCATTCGAAAATATCTTCTGATGCAGGATGAGTGCCAAGTCAGTGCAGAAGACAACACAAATTTGTTCTGTTTGTACCTATGAGTGGTTCATCTGAGAGTTAGGCTGAGCACATACCTAATGGTCACTCGAGCTAAATATGAGCCTCAGAGCTGCAGAAGTATTAAATACCTTGAAGTTTAATATTTACTATTTTGATATGACTTGTAAAGATGTGACGTTTTGCAGGAATTTAATGCTGAGCATATTTCAGACGGTTGCTGCATGCACCTCCAAAAATGTATTTTATTGGCTATTTTTGTTCTTGTAATTTTTAAAGACCAATTTTTGTCATACTGTTTTCCTATAATAATTGAACATGTTTTTACTTTTTCTTCAATGTAGCAATAAACCTAATCCTAATCAGATATCAGATGTTAATGGTAAGCCTGCTGTGGTGAATGGTCCAGTTGGAGGAGTACTTTATCAAGCCCAGAACTCAAGCACAGGCCGGCCCTGTGAGAGTTGTTACAGTGAGTACTATTAAAACTAAACTATTTAAGTATAAGACAAGAAGAAACATGGTGCTACAACCAGAAGTAAACTTTCTAAATTTAAAATATATCTGGCTGCCTGGAGATTAATTGAAATCATTAATTCAGATATTTAGTAAAATCCTGCTGTGTTTTCCCTCCAACCCTTTTCTCTTATTCAGCTTTCACAATATAAGCAAAAATCACACTGTTATGATCCCCATGGGGGAACCATAAGTTAAATTTATCTTATTTACCAGATTATCCCAGATAAAGAAATTAGCAACAAGATTTGTAATTTTTACTTGAATACATATTTAAACCAAAGCAAACTAAACCTGAATCAAAACATCAATGATGTCTTTTAACCAAAGTTTCACTTTAAGTAGTTGATATAACAAACACATGTCTTACAAATTGACAAAAACTGTGACATTCCCTGTAGACATGTGGCATAATTTTTTCCAAAGTTGCCTTCTCCGGTAATTTGGATCTGTCTTTCCTACTCAATCTATTTGGCTCTCAAGCTGTAATTACTAGCAACCACGGTCTATTTGAAGTTTCCAAACACTCTGTCGCCTGATTGGCACACTCTTACAGAACCTTCCTAGCTAGATGCTTGACCATCTTGATGGCGCAGTTGCCTTAGAGACTGTAATCCCTTTAATAACACCCTTTAATCAGTTTAATCAGCTCTGACAAAACTGAAAAGTCACAGTAAAATTACCCAACTCTCAATTCCTGCTCTAACACTTTGTCATGCTTTCTCTCCAATTTATCTGTATTATGCACACAGCTCCTTGTAAATGTGTCTTCTTTGTTGTTCCCTGTTGCATCTCTCCTTTGTATTTGCCCACTGACTTCTGAATGTCAAGTTCCTCCTTAGCATTACCACTTCCAGGTCAAAGATCACCGTTTTGAATATGCCGATTCGAATTGTTGTTCAAGGAAATATAATTGGCCTCTTTACAATTGATGCAAACAGTAACAAGTCCTTTTCAAATGTTCCTAAAACTACTTACAGGTTCCACAAATATTTTAATCAAGTTACACATTTTCCAAATGTTGTTGCTTCTGGGTCAAAGGTTGTACACTGCTTCTTTAAAGCTTTGAGTGCAATCATAATGCAACCTTTTTCATACCGTTAGGGTTGCAAAAATTCTACTCCTTCATGACATTCTCTGGAGAGATAACAACATTGGCATTGTGATGTCTGTTATGGATGGTAGCAGTTTGGGGACTAAAGAACTGAATTGTGTGGAAATGCAAACATAGACTCACATGATGGGTGATTATAAAATGGGGAACAGGACCACCTTCTGCATTGTATGGGAGATTTTGGAACCTCAAATTGAAACATTATTTTGGGCTCGCAGATATAACTTGGTTTGAATGAAAAAACAGAAGGTATGGCTACTAAATCTACTGATGATACCAAGATAGATAGGAAAGCAAGTCATAACATGAACATAAAGAGGCTTAATGATAAGCAGAATGTGGTCTAGAAAGGAATAAAAGGTAAACGAAACCTTCATTCTGGATTCCACTCATTATGCCCTCATTCAAATTGGCTCAGCCAGTCAATGGCAGAAACTCTGAAATCTGAGTAAACATTATTGAATAAAGAGACAGCCGCCTCCATTGTTGATGCGTACAAACTCAAATTGAGCTTCAGGTCATTGTTGACCCCTTCAACACAGTGCATGAGAAACTAGAACTTTCATTAAACACTCAGAAGACAAAGATCTTCTTCAACCAGATCCCACAATAAAACATGCCAACCCCGTTTAAGGTCAATGGTATGTAGCCCTGGTTCCTCTTGAACTTTGATTATTGTGATATCTTGGTGCTAGGTGAATGAACAATTTGATGATTTGACCAACAAGCATGAGTCCCTAAATGGAATGAGTGCTGAACTCTACATTTAAATGTTTTGCTTGAACAATGACATATTCAGGAGATGCCAGTGCTTTGATCTAGTGATTTTATATTTGTCCTTTTGAGAAAAGTTGGTGTTTGTTGTAATGAGTCTATGCTGTGCATACATATGACGACAGTTAGCATACTGATACTCTGACTGAAGTTGGAATTGGTTTTGAATTAAAGTCAGTATAGGTTGAACAATTTGGTTCTGTAGGTTATCTTCACACCTGAGGATAATTTGCTGGAGATGAGGTGAAGTATTGCAGCAAGGAAATGGAGAATAATGCTAGTGTAATGACAGAGCTGCGTTTGATCTCACTTTTCACTGAGGTCAGGTTTTGGTGGTCGTCCTGGTGACGATAACAGCTTGAATGTCTTTGTGGAGGATGATGACAAATATCTAGGGGAAGCCAAATTTGAAAAGCATTGTGATTAAATGTAATAAATTAAGACGATTAAGAACACTCTGTATGTTACCTGCCTTCATTGGATTTTGTCAACAAAAAGGAACTTTATAAGCTTAAAATATAGCTCTGATTTCAGTATTTTGGATGTTAGAGAAATGTATTATTCTGAAACCATATCATGTTAAAAGTGACTATATCTTTTTCTGGTTTTAAGCTTCATGCAATTCGAAGGAAATAGTTAAATAAATTGTATTAGAATGGAATAATGGCAAAATTAGAGAAATGTCAACTGATTTGAATTTTATTGTTGAACGATATTGGTTATTGCATTTCTCATTCCACAGCTTTAAAGTTAATAGAGGCAAATAGTTTTCTAGTTTAAAATATCTAAAGCTTCTCCTAATAGGAATCAGCAACTTTTGCTTTGTATTTTTCACTTCTTTCCAGCCACACAGTCCCAACAGTGGTATTCCTGGGGGCCTCCAAATATGCAGTGTAGACTTTGTGCTTCATGCTGGACGTACTGGAAGAAGTACGGTGGTTTGAAGATGCCTACTCGAGCAGAGGCAGAAAAAATGTCACCCACAGATGATGTTTCGGTAACAGAAAGCAGAAGATTTGAACTTGTGTTTACTTGTGATTAGCTGCTAAGACTTCAGAGTTTAAATATGATTAATGGACTATCTTAGTTTGGTTTTCCTTGTACCAGAAGTAGTTCCTGTTGTTAAGTTCTGGCAGTGGGAATTATTCATTTTTGTGCAATAAATTCCTTTCCTTACTGTTCTTTCTGATAATAGTGTGACCTGATTTAAATAAATAAGATTTCAAACTAACCTAATTGGGCTCTTCAACTTGGTTACCTAAACCCATTTTAACATTGTGATCTATTAGATCAATTCATAATTTTTTTATTGTTTCCTTCTTAATTGTGAAAGTATATCTTTTATCACAGAAAATCTTTTTATCACAGGCACATTTTATGTGACTTGTAAGATAGTACAAAAATCCATTATGGCATAATCTTCTCAAGGTTTTATTAAAAGTACTGGGAAACCAACTTCAAGCAAAGTTAAAGTCAAACTGAGTGCCAACTCACATTGTTATAAACATTTCAGATAGATTGGTGATGTTGCAGATGCTACTGTGAAATTTTAGGCTTCCAGGAAATTGCTATTATCAGTAGTTTGAATATAGTTGTGTTTCAGGTTTGTCCCATGGACCGTTGAAGTGTGCGCTAGCAACATTAATCAGGCTTAGATCTGGAGCAAATTAAAATAGAACACTAAAATATAAAGAGGTTTGACAGCAGGTTATTTTGCATGGTAATATTATGGGTGTTCAGTGTCTACTGCCTCCTAAAGTTTATTTGTTTGGCGTGCACTTTATAATCTTATGTACATTGAGGTTTGATTTAAGGATTCCGAGGATTTGACTTCATGAATGTTACTTACAAATGCAGCCCTACTGTTTCTGCAGTACTTATTTTGCACTATGCAAAGCATTTAGTGACTAATTAGGTGTTCTTTTTCTCTATTTTATAAAGGACTCCCACATAAGAAGTGTCTTTCATCATGGTCAACCTGGGCATGGTGTATCAATACACATCGATAGTCCAAAATCTACTTTGAAAACCCGTCAGTCTTTCTTCCTGCAGACAACTCGTCTTACAAAACTTGCCAGGCATGTCTGCAGAGATATTCTGCGGCTGAAACAGGCAGCAAGGAAGCCATTTGTTCCAATTAACTGTGCTGCCATTAAGGCAGAATGTAAGAACTTTTTAAATTCCTAGCTTTGAGTTTCATGCTTTCACCATTCCCTGACCTAATGTTTGCAATAAATGATACTTATGACTTACTACATTATTTATTTGTGTGTTTTTTTTATTTGTTCAAATGTTTTCTATATCTGTATGTGTTATTCTCTGAACAACTTCAAGGAAGACTGTCTGCTTCAAAACTTAAGTAGAAGTAAAATCTCAGAAAATTAGTTTTTGAATAACTGAAAGGTAATGGAATTAATTAAGATTAAAAATACATTTATGTAAACAATCTGTAACAGAAAAATGTTTTTTGTTTTAAAACATTGAAACGAAATAGGTTCCAAGTCCTTGAAATTAATTGATTCTGCAATACTTAGTTTAAAAACCATAATAAATTAACAAAATTTATCTAATATCTAACAACTGTAATTTTAGTTCCTTTAGTAACCATATGCCTACAAGAAGAAACATCAGTTATTGAACTATGTACAATATACTAATTCACAGACTCAGACTTCTGAAAACAGTGTAATATAGTCTTGCAGCATAATTTTAAATAAGAACAATTTTGATACAATGCGAACAACTTAAGAACAAAATCAACTGAATGGGCTGCAAAATTGATATTTTTTGCAGACCTTCTTTCTTTAGGTTGATTATATTGTGCTTCACGTCTGCTGCTTTAGCTGCAACCAAGCAATTCATTGAACTGCACAAAGCTAAGACAACATGAAAACATAAGAAATTTTATTAAATAAAAGACTGGCAATTGTCTACTTGTAAGCAGAAAAAAATATAAACGTGACAATAATTGCCATTACTTTTGTAATGATTTTTGCATAAAAGTGATTTGAGGATTCTGAATATTGTGCAAATAATATTCAATATACTTTTCAATATGAAAATTATAATGGAAGCTTTAAGTACAAGAACTCACCATGACAGTTTTCTGGAATATGTTTCCAACATCGATCCTAAAAGGAATACCTCTCCCTTTAATGTTGCAAAGCAAGCACAGATGGTTTAAATGTATTGACTCCTTTTAGTAGAAAATGATTAGCACCTTTTGCAGCTATACTTTGTTTTATTTCTTTCCATTTGTGCATGTTGTAAATTATATAATTCCTTTTAAAATGCCGCATGCAGCTTCTAATTTTACATAATCACAAACCATCTTCATAAGTGTTCCATATTCTGTAAAAGCCTCTGATTGACAGCATACTGCTCTTGCAATGCAGAGATTGCTTGATTAGCAATTTATGAAATGTGGAAAGAACTAGAAGTGAGATTTGCAAGTAATTATTTTGAACAAGCTGACATTTTGTAATATCACAACTGAATTCCAATTAATTCAGTAGTACATGGATGTTTGTAGGATGCTTTTCATATTATGGGAAAGTTCAACATAAATTTCCTGAATTGGTTGAATTGTAGAAGAACTCTTGAGCTTTACTGAAACTGTTGTGCAGATGTGTGTGAATGAATGGTTTAATTAGGCATTGAAAGTACAAAATGTCAGCAGTTTATTCAGTGTATTTTTTCATAAAGGTAATAATGGTGTGACTTATCGGAATGCTGCTTTTCCAATGTATTTAGGTGAGTAAAAATGGCAGGCATTTAGAGAAATCTGTCATGATCAGACGTTTTTTAAAATCTGCTATGTAGACTGTATTTCAATATTCCAACAGCTGGGAGATGAGCAGAGAGAGTAAGTGCAATAGAGGCATTGTATTTCTCAATCTCTTCCTTCCAATTCCCTACTTTAGTACAACTGTTTTTGGAGATGGATAAGGCGAGTACTGATCTGCTCAAAATTTACTGGACTACCAGTGCAGATTTGTGAGTGGAATTGCCATCTGCTTTTGCCAGTTTCTGCTTAACGGTTATAAGTGCAATCAAAAGAAAATGCTAGAAAATTTTCACAGGCCTGTTATCATCTATGGAAGGAGAAATAGAGTTAACTTCTAAAAGGATGTAACCTTTCATCAGAATTGGAAAATATTAGAAATGCATGATATTTTAAGCAAAGTTTGGAAAGGGGTTCGGTGGGAGAAGAACAAAAGAGATGGTCTGCGATAAGGTGAAGGACACGGGAAATTAAATTATATAAGATTTCGCAGTAGAAAAGGGAGTGGGAATGGGTTGGATGAAGAAGAAAGTATGTGTCGAGGCTTGTGAATGATGGGAAAGCTAAAAGGAACCAAGAAAGAAATGAGAAAAAAAGACAGAGAAAAGTAAACAAAATGGGGTTTGAGATCATGATTAAAATTGTTAATCTCAACATAGTGTTCAAAAAGTAGTAGAGTGCCCAGTGGAAAGATAAGGCCCTGTTCCTTGAGCTTAGTTTGAACTTCATTGGAACACTGCAGCAAACCAAGATCATAGATTTGTGTGGGTGCAGCATAGAGAATTAAAATGGGAAGTGTGAATGGGATAAGTAAAGAAAAGCATTATTTTTAGAAAATGTGTGAATGACAGAATACCTTAAGGAACTAAAAAACAATGAGAAAAGAAAGCCATTTAAAAAGATGGAGAAATAAAATGGCAGGAGAGCTCATGCATCTAAAATTGTGAAACTTGTTGATGTTAGGGAGGAGGATGTGCTAGAAATTTTGAAAAACATGAGGATAGATAAAACCTCTGGGCCTGACTGGATATACCCAAGGTTACTACAGGAAGCAAGGGAAGAGATTGCTGCGCTCTTGGCGATGATCTTTGTGTCCTCACTGTCCACTGGAGTAGTACCAGATGATTGGAGGGTGGCAAATGTTATTTCCTTGTTTAAGAAAGGGAATAGGGATAAACCTGGGAATTACAGACCAGTTTGTCTTACTTCTGTGGTGGGTGAATTATTGGAGAGGATTCTAAGAGATAGTATTTATGATTATTTGGAAAAGCGTAGTTTGATTAGAGAAAGTCAGCATAGCTTTGTGTGGGGCAGGTCACGCCTCACAAGCCTTATTGAATTCTTTGAGGATGTGACAGAACACATTGATGAAGCTAGAGCAGTGGATGTGGTGTATATGGATTTTAGCAAGGCATTTGATAAGGTTCCCCATGGAAGGCTCATTCAGAAAGTAAGGAGACATGGGATCCACGGAAATTTGGCTGTCTGGATACAGAATTGGCTGTCCAATAGAAGACAGAAGGTGATAGTAGATGGAAAGTATTCAGCCTGGAGCTCGGTGTCCAGTGGTGTTCCACAGGGATCTGTTCTGGGACCTGATCTCTTTGTGATCTTTATAAATGATTTAGATGAGGAAGTGGAAGGGTTAGTAAGTTTGCCGATGACACGAAGGTCGGTGGAGTTGTGGTTAGTGTGGAGGGCTGTTGTAGGTTGCAGTGGGACATTGACAGGATGCAGAGCTGGGCGAAGAAGTGGCAGATGGAATTCAACCCGGAAAAGTGTGAAATGATTCATTTTAGAAGGTTGAATTTGAATGCAGAATACAGGGATAATGGCAGGATTCTTGGCAGTGTGCAGGAACAGAGGGATCTTGGGGTCCACGTCCATCGATCCCTCAAAGTTGCCACCTAAGTTGATAGGGCTGTAAAGAAGGCGTATGTTGTGTTGGCTTTCATTGGCAGGGGAATTGAGTTTAAGAGCTACGAGGTTATGCTGCAGCTCTATAAAACCTAGGTTAGACCACACTTGGAATATTGTGTTCAATTCTGGTCACCTCATTATAGGAAGGATGTGGAAGCTTTAGAGAGGGTGCAGAGGAGATTTTCTAGGATACTGCCTGGACTGGAGGGCAGGTCCTATGAGGAAAGATTTGAGGGAGCTAGGGCTTTTTTCACTGGAGCAAAGACGGATAAGAGGCAACTTGATAGAGATGTACAAGATGATGAGAGTCACAGATAGAGTGGATAGCCAGAGACTTTTTCCCAGGGCGGGAATGACTATCATGAGGGGGCGTAATTTTAAGGTGATTGGAGGAAGGTATAGGGGAGATGTCAGAGGTAGGCTGTTTACACAGAGAGTGGTGGGTGCGTGGAATGCACTGCCAGCAGTGGTAGTAGAGTCAGATACATTAGGGACATTTTAGCGACTCTTGGATAGGCTCATGGATGATAGTAAAATGAAGGGTATGCAGGTCAGTTTGATCTTGGAGTAGGATAATAGGTCGGCACAACATCATGGGCCGAAAGGCCTGTACTATGCTGTACTATTCTATGTTCTGTGTAACTTGAAGTCCAGACCAAAAGGCAGGAAGGTGCTTTGATCTCCCCAATTTAGAAGAAATCACGAAGTGAGCAGCGAATACAGTAAGTGAAAGAATACAAGAAGTTTGAGATTTTGAATGATGAGAAGTAGGGAACTAAAAGTGCAAATCTTGTATCTCCTGCACTTGTGTGTAGAGGTGCCAGATGAAGGGATGACTAGACAATTTAATAGGGATGTTAAGGAAATGGTTGCTTTGGACTGCCAAAGGGAAGTGAAAGATGTATTTGGTGGTGACAGAAATGGCAGATGATTGATTTAATACAGAGGCTGGTGGACTAAAGGTGAGGACAAAGGGAACCTGCCATGGTCTAGAAGTGGTAAGACTGGAGTGCATAAAATAGCCATATTCAAAGGCCCTGTCATTCATGTTTTAGGGATGTCATCAGTTGGGGAAAAAGGAAGATGCAGCAGAAATGAAAAAATCTGGGACAATGGAGTAGAGCCCTTGAGGAAACAGGGAGCATAAGTGTAGTCAAAGGTACTTGTGGCAGTTACTGGGTTTATAGTGGATGATAGCCTATCTGCTGAAATGGGGACAGAATTTTAGGAAGGAATGAGTCAGAGATGAGCAATGCGAAGGTGAATGAAGGGTTGAAAGTTTAGCCAAAGTCAATTGCATTTTTCAGTTTAGGGGGAGAACAGGAAATAGTACGAATTATACTGGCAAAATAGGTGAGGGAGGGGCCTAAGTAGGACTGGAACAAAGAATATTGCACATCTACCAACATAAGAAAAGCAATGCTAGGATCTATGTGGGTACCCAACTCATCATTTTGGAGGAAATGAGTAGAATTTAAGGATAATGTTCTTGAAACTGCTCAGTGTGAGAACAAGTTCAGCCAGGAGTAAGAAAATAGTGGTGAATGGGCACTGGA